CGACGGCCTGGTCTGGGCAAGTGGTGGGCGGCGCTGATCCATGCCGCCCAGCAACCCAACGGCGCTCCTGGTCATGGGCGGCAATACCCCATCCAACCGAGCGAAGCGAGGGGAACGGGCCGCTCATCCGTGAGCCACCGCAGAAAAATATGGCCCCCTTGGAGCATCAGAGCCTCTGCCCTTCAACCCTGAACCCCACGCTGGGTCCCACGGGCGACGCGAGATCTGCCGGCAGGGGTCAGGGAGGATGCCTCGGGCAAGCAAAACGCTCCTGGAGTTCAATCGAGCAGTGCGAAAGGCGAATAGCAACAGCCTGGACAAGGCGAATAGCCGCAGCCTGGACATCAGGCGAGATTTCATCCCGGCGCCGGTCCGCACGTGCTGGGCAGCAGAAGTGCCCGTGGAAAAGAATGACCTGCTCGCCGCAAAGCATGTGCTCATCAGACGGCTGGCGGTCGTGATGGTTGAGCCGATACTGGTACCAGTGCGACCTGATCACCAAACCTCTCAAGAATAACTGCTCCTCTGAAGCCCCAAGCCCCACCCGTCATCAGGCCCAGGCTCCTCTTCCGCAGCGACCTTTTGAGGCGCAGAAGTTCGTGGAGCGGACGCCAGAATGTGCCGCACATCCAAGCGCTCCGGCGGCCAACCCTGGCGCGTCGGGCCAGAAAGGCGGGAGAGACTTCCGTCCTGGCCCAAACTTCCTCCGACGCCCCCCCACCCTCCACGGGTCCAAAATCTGGAAGCCCACGTGGGCACAGGTGAGGGTCAGAGCTGAAGCTGGGTCTTGAGCCTGGGGCCAGGGTCTGGTCTTGGCAACCGCGGCAGTGCCAGCCGCAAAAAAAGCTTGCAAAACAGGGGCCGCGATGGGGGCCACCCATGAAGATCTGCAACTGCGTTTTGATGGCGCCGGCCGCGAGGAGCACTGTCGGGCCCCTAGCCAAGCCCCCTCGCGAGCACATAGACGCCAACTCCAAAGGGGACCCTCTGGGCAGACGACCCTCGGCGCGCAGCGCCGAGAGACGGAGGCTCTTGAGCTTGCCATTGGGCAGCCCCTGGACGATCCCCCCCCCACGAGGCCTTGACCGAAACTCCTGCCCTAAAGACATTGCGACATTGCCTACCTGGGCTCCCGCGCCCCTGGGGGCGAAGACCGTGGAATCCTTCCTCTGCGCCTCAAAAAGCGGTCCTGATGAGCGGTGAATCGACGACGGCTGCAGTCTGTAGCATCACCCCTATAGGTCACGGTGGACCCAGCACTTCACATCTGGAAACAACGCGCGAACGTCCAGCAAGCCTACCGCCAACTCAGCGGACGAGGGTAAAAGGCCAAGTTCGTGGCAAGTCAGCAACGAACGAAGTGAAACCAGCGCCGAGCTCGCGCCGAATCGTGACAGCACCGCCCACCGCGTGCACCGATACATCGTCTATCACGCTCATAAGCCACAGTGTGGCTGGCTGCGGCGGCAATGCTACGGCACACCAGCAAGAGAAGGCGAGCCAAATATGTGGCCCCAGAACAACCAGCAATCACCGTCCCAGTTGGAAAACAACTGGTGGCTGATCGTTCCCTGCCAAGTCACGCGGCGAGGCACTCGATGCAATGCGCAACAGGCACGAAGCAAAGGCATGGGGGCATCAGCGCGCACAGCTGCTTTGCGCAGCTTCTGGTGCGAGATGTGTACGTATAACCTGCGAATGGTCTAAAACGAGCGTGCTGGACTCCAGCCCAGGGACCATACGCGCATGCGCCGCAAGGGCATTACGTACCCAGGCGCTCTTGTCGCAGGCGGTGTTCGTGCTCATACCCCCAAAGGAACGAAGGCCCAGCGAACGCTCCCACTCAGAGCACAACCTGTGGGGGACACGACTCCAGACCCTCGCCCAGAGCGACAGCAGCCCTATGGGTCTCACACCGCCTGAAGCCTTGTCTAGGAAGACCACTATGACCAACCACATTGCCCGAACCGAGGGATTCAGCTGCCATGCGTTGAGCATGGTCACAAAAAATCAACGGGGCCTGGGGGACTGGAGAAGAAGCCTGGGGCTGAAAGCGTCCCATCCCAGCCCCGTGGAAAAGGAAAAAGAGGCCACCGCATCTGGCGCCTGTTCTAACGTGATCGCCGCGATGTCGCCCTGAATAGGCCAGCTCAGTGGATGCTCCTCCTCCTCCTCCTCCTGCTCCTCCTCCTCCTCCTCCTTCTCCTCCTCCTCCTCCACGGACGGCATGCTCCAAATCGGCAGCCACTCCCTGAGCGTCTGGTCGAAGGTCGCTTGCCCAATCAGCGGGGTGGGACCAGCTGACGGAACCTCCTCCTCCTCCTCCTCCTCCTCCTCCTCCTCCTCCTCCTCCTCCTCCTCCTCCTCTTCGGGCGATGCAAAAACTGGCAGGGGCGGAAGGGGCTGGGCCGTTGCTGAACTTGTGAGCCACCCGAGACCCCCGCTCGACAGCAGACGCCTGAGCCCAGGACCTCCACTCCTGTCGGCTTTCCGCCGCCTCCAGCTTCACCCTGCGAGAAACTTCGCCCTGGATCATGTCGGCCAGGGAGGCCTTTCGGTCCGCGCCGCCACGTTGGGCAAAAAACAGAGTCGAGAGTGAGGCCTCTGAGGCCTTCTACTCGGGCCCTTCAAAAATACTGGCCAATGGGGCAACTGCGTCATGGAGCCGCTTGCGTTCCCGTCCTTGTGAGGCCTGGAAGGGAGAGAAACTTCTGCGTGGTAAGGTTCGACCACAGGTGGAGCTCTTGACCCCAAGCAGCCTGAAGCGGAACGAGCTGCAACTGGCAACCTTTGGAACGGCACAAAAACGTTCGGTCCTGGATCCCATGACCTCGCAGAGGGCCTTTTCGGCAGCATCAAACCACCTAGCCGCCGCAACCTGAGGGTCCAGGCCCTGAACATCGGGACCGTCCGAAGAGCCTTGAACAAAAAAAACATGGCCTCCTTCTCCTCCTGCGGCGATGGCAATTGGAAAAGCCTAGGCACAACACGCTTCCAGACCTTGGAATGGCCAACCAAGCCGCGAACCCTGACCTCAACTGCCGTGGGGTCCGACTGGTGTGTCCACAATCGCCTGGCAGAGATGCACGTAATAGTCCAGGCGTGGCTGCAGACCTCCTTCAGATTCTGAACCCCAGCCAAGTGCTCCAGATGTCAGACCTCTGGGGGCAAAGCTCACGTGTTGTTTACCCAGAGGAGAGGGAGGAGGAGGAGGAGGAGGAGGAGGAGGAGGAGGAAGAGGAGGAGAGGGAGGAGAGGGAGGACGAGGAAGCGAGCGGGTGGATAGGTGCCAACATCGTTCAGGCATATTCTGGACCAGAACAGATGAAAAAAATCTGGCCCCTGTGTAGGCAGGCCGAACACCGTGAACGACTACGAGCACTCGCGAAATGAAGTCAAAAAGCAGGAGGAGAAGGAAGAGAAAGAGGAAGAGGAGGACCAGAGGGAGCCGGGGAAAGCGGCCCATGCAATTTGAAGCCCCCCCGGGCGCAGCTCCAAAGAAGCGGATCATCAAAACTAGTGAGATGGCATTATGATAGAACAGAGGAGGAAGAGGAGGATGAGGAGGCACATCGGAATCGGATCGGAGTGGACCCTGCGCCAGGCCCGTCGCTCCAGGGCCACCCTCGGCACAGGGCAGGGCGGGGGTGAGCAGTGGCTGGCGCAGGCAGTGGGCTGCTTCGAGTTCCGATCTCGCTTGCCATCGCTCTGCCCTACTTAGCAGCCTCGCACGCCGTACAAGCCAACATCGCATGAATGACATTTGCCGTCGTAGCCAGCCAGCATAGTCATTATCATCATCGCCCTCCTCGTCATCAGCATCACCATCATCATCATCATCATCATCATCATCATCAGCAGCAGCAGCAGCATCGTCGTCATCGTCATCATCATCATCAGCCGCAGCATCCGCATCAGCATCACCAGCACCATCACAATCACCATCACCATCACCATCACCATCACCATCATCATCATCATCATCATCATCATCAGCATCATCAGCATCATCATCATCACCATCATCAGCATCAGCATCAGCATCAGCCTCATCATCATCATCATCATCATCATCATCATCATCATCATCGTCATCATCATCATCATCACAACCATCATCATCATCATCATCATCATCATCATCATCATCATCATCATCATCATCATCATCTTCATCTTCATCAGCATCAGCATCATCAGCATCATATTCATATTCATATTCATCATCAGCATAAGAATCATCATCCTCATCCTCATCCTCATCCTCATCCTCATCCTCATCATCATCATCATCATCACCATCATCCTTACCACCACCATCAGCAACACCACCACCGTCGTCATCATCATAACCATCGTCGTCGTCGTTGTCGTCATCGTCGTCACCTCGGCCACCATCGTCCTCATCGTCGTCATCTATCGTAATGGCAAGCGCCAGGCACATGATACTGTTTCACGACCAAAAGCGTCGTCATCGCAATTCCCATTTTGACAGGAGCGGCCCACAACCACTGCCGCGACAGCCGTCAATCGTGATGTCCACGAGGTACGGCGGGTTTGTGCCGTGACGACCCCAGCGTTGGTTTCTGACATCGCGTTGATCGTTCAACCTTGAACGATCGGCGGCTTATCGATTGCCATATCGTTCCATATTAGGACGATTCTGGGCCACTGGCGGCGTTCAACCTTGAACGCCCGCGGCGGGGTCGCGACGAGTCGACACGACGCGAACCTACCGTACTTACTTGCAGCGGCGATGAAGGTGGCAAGGATGTAGTGACCGCCAGGCGGCACGGTGCGAAGTGCCACGTTGCATTCATCCTCGCCCCAATCCTCGAACAGCAGGGGCCACGTCAGGGCCATCCTGACGCCCTCTCAGAGCCTTGCTGGGCCACCTTGGGGCCTCCTGGGTGCACATTGGGGCATTTGGGGGCCAGGTCTGGGCAGTCTTGCGCAGAAACCTCGGGACAAGCTTGTCATACGAAGCACCAGCCACCATTTTGAGCGCACGGACGAGCGCTTTCAATCAAACACTGCCAGCCTCAGACGCGACGGCGCTCCGCTCACTTCGGCTCGTAGTAGATGTGCAGCTCGATGCCGTCCGGCCCCCAGGGGCGCAGCTTGGTGTGGTCCGCGATCTTGCCGGAGATCGGCTTGCTCTCGTCCTCCTTCAGGTAGACGTTGAAGTCGCTGTCGAGGAGGAAGTCCTGGTCGATCTCGAAGATCTTCCTGAACTTGGTGAGGCACGACTCCACAGTGGTGCTCTCGTCGATGATCACGCGGTAACGGCCGCCGATCGACGGTGCGGTCAGCATGATCTCGCTCCCGGCCTGCCTGGCCACGCGGACACCCCGGCCAGCCGGGCTCGACTGGGCGCCCGTGCCCGCGAAGGCCGGCGAGAGGGTCTCGGCCACCAGCCACGCGGCCGCCGCGGCGAGGAACAGGGCACCGAAGCTGGAGCGCGCCATCGCGGGAGGCTGAGATGCCAGAAGAACCGGTGCTGTTCGCGACCGTCAGGCGTGTCAGGCCAAATCCGTGCAACTTGAGCCGCAAGAAGCTGCGGAGGAGGATGAAGATGAAAACGAAGAACCCGGTGAGATGACGTTCATGATGCGACGATGCGAATGAGCGTGAGGTGAGAGCTAGGATGAGTAGGGTGACCATGACAACGAAGATAATGACGAGGCGAAGGATGACGATGATGACGAGGGAGGACACGATGTAGATTGTGTTGTGGAGGGGGGGTGAGGCGTTTTCCTGCGTCTCCCACTTACGGCGGTGACACGCGCTCCTCAGCTCAAGGCTACAGCATGGCTGCGCGCAGGGGCGAGGGCGGGACGGGAGGACAGGACCAGGTCCAGCCAGCCCTACCAAAATGTGTTGCGAGCGCGATGCGACAGTTCCCCCCATTGCAGCGTCTGGTAGATTTTGACGCTGTCCCCAGAAACGAAATCGTGTTCTCCACCAGTGAAAAGCCCCCAATGCCAAGGGAGATCTCGCAGCTGATGCACGCCAACGGAAACTGTGTGATAGCACTCGTGCGACACGGCGTGACACTCCGCTACTGCAAACTCAATACAACTTGTCGCAACACGAACCCCGTGATGCCATCCTTCGCCCTGTCCCCCTCGCCCCTCGCTCTGCCCCAAGGGGCAGGGGGAGGGAAGGGGAGGGAAGAGGGGTTTGGCATCCACGGCCAAGGACACAACTCAGGTGGGGCACGAAGCTGGAACTTCAGCTGTGGCCCCATATCGCCTCGAGTGGAATCCTTAGCCGATCTGCCGCCCAGTCTCGCTCGTGCATGGTCAGACCGGAAGAGAAGAGGGAGGTGGGAACAGGGAGGAAGATGGAGGGATCTCCCCGTCTCCATCTCCCCTTACCCTTTCGCCTCCTGCCCCTCAATTTCCTCACCACTCCCTCCTTCTCCTTTCTTCTCCAGGAACAGGGATGTGACCGACAACACTCTGCAGTGATGCTTCGAAGCACGCACGCGCGCGCAATTCAACCACACACACACACTGCTTGGCATCGCGGCCACGCGCGAGGCGGCACGGCGTAGTCAGTCGAGGGGGCACGCGAAATTTGTTGCTTCGCTGCCGGGTGGTCAAACACGGAGAAGGCAATCGCAGGGTGCGCCAAGCTGGTGCGCCGACGGGATGCCAACCGACAAGCGGCTGGCGGATGCAGAGAAAGAGACCGAAGCCGTGCACGCGCGGAGGCACGCGTGGGGACCCATGCGGGGGCAGCAAGCGACCTCAGCCACATCGAGGACACACCCTAGAGGACGTTCTGTGCATGCCAATACTCGTCAGAACACCGAAGCCAGCTTGATACTGGTTGTGGTCGCTGTGACGTCCCAAGACGGCCAAATCGATCACAACATAACCAAAGTGCTCATGTCGACGTCGGCGGGCTCTCCCCAACGGGGACCCTACAGAAAAATCGACTTAGTTGTGGTTGTGGTTCCTTCATGTGCACCGACGACCAGCTTAGGGAGGTGGCGCGACGGGGGCACGCGGGAGGTACCCAGGTGCGGCGGCGCCCGGCGGCAAGGGCAGACCAGGCTGCATGCCCCCCCACCAAAGGCGGGTCCGCCCGAGCCACGGCAACAGGAGGCAGAGAAGGGGGCGACGCCCAAGGAACCAGGGCGGAACCGCAGCGGGGGGCTGTTTGACTTGAGACCATCAGATGCCACAACTTGACGTGTAACGGCACCGGGTGCGCGCAAGCGGGCCTAGTGCCCCCAACTACCGGCACGGCACGTGCGAGCATTTTCCGCTCCCGACGGCCAACCGCCGAAGATGAGGGAGGGAGGGGCTGGGGGCGACGGCAACGGGGGCGACGGCAACGACCCGACGACCCAGGAAGGAAGGATGAGGCACACACACACACACACACACGCACACACACGCAAACTCTCACACACACCACCATTCACACACGCACGCACGCACGCGCGCACGCGCGCACGGACGCACGCACGCACTCACGTACGCACACGCACACGCACACGCACACGCACACACGCACACACACACACACGCACACACATGCACACGCGTGCACACGCACAAACACACACACACACACACACACACGCACACGCGTGCACACGCACACACGCACCCACGCACCAACGCACGCACGCACGCACGCACACACACACACAGACACAGACACAGACACAGACACAGACACAGACACAGACACAGACACACATACATACATACATACATACATACATACATACATACATACATATATATATATATATATTCACGCACACGCACACGCACACACGCACACACGCACTTTTTGCGTCGGTGGCCAGGCAGAGTCGCTGCGCTGGCGAAAACGGCGATGGTGGGAGGCATGGAACGCGAATATGGGCCACCATGCAGGAGGGGACGCAGGCGGCGGGAGGGAGGGGGAAACCGGGCTGGCTCGAGAGCGGGGCCAAGCGCGCGGCGGGAGCGGCGCCGGGGAGGGGGGACCAGCGGCGGCGGCCCGGCGGCCAGGGAGGGGGGGCGTCGGGGCCAGCTGCAGAGCACGCGCGCACGCACGCGCATGCACACACACACACACACACACATACATGCACGCACGCACACACAGACACACACACACACAAACACACATGCACGCACGCACGCACGCACGCACGCACGCACTTTGGAGCGCACGCGGCCTGGGAGATAAACCACACGGGCGATCCAAGGTCACCGAAACACACACACAGTCACATACACACAAACGCATGTGCATACGCGCGCGATCGCGATTGCCACCATCACACATATCCTCAGTCAGAGCGGGGAGAAGAAGCACGGCACAGGCATTATCGCCCATCGCGATTTTGCAGAGACGCGCTCCTGTCGAAGCGCTGACCCACGGCCGCCGCCCCTTCCCTTCAGGGTGAAGGAGGACACGCTGATGCCATGCACGTGCACCGCAATCTTTGTAACGGGCACGGCCAAATGAGGCGCGGATTGCATCCATGCCTTTGCGAGGGGAATCGGACTTGAATTAGCGGACGAAGAATGGTACAAGATCAAATTGTCCGTCATCCGGGGCGCCTGCACCAGGACGGCTGGCAAGTTCATACCCCCACGTGCCGCCGAAGTGGCAAGAACTGATCAGCCACCCTGTAGCAAGCGTTCCCGCTGACGTCTGTCCCAAGACGGCTGGCAAATGTACACTCCCACGTGCCGCTGTAGTGGTATAAACTGTCCAGCCGCCCGATGGCGCAAAAGTTTATCCTACACTGTTCCTCGTCCGCAAATGATGCCAGCCAACATACCAACAAGATCAGGCGTGCACTGGGTGCCCAGGCCCACTGACGCACAACTTGGCAGGTCAGTGAAACAGGACCGTGGTTGGCGCCTGTTCTGAAGTCACGGGGGCTTCCCGCGTGCAAGCGAGCTACAATACACCTAACTAGATAACAACGGTAAACAAAAAAAAAAAATCGGGACTACCGGCGTGTTCGCGCAGCGCCGGCATTCGAAGCAATAAGGGGTGGCACGGCCTGCCCATCCCGACGGGCTATGTGCAAGGCCGATGCTCGTCCGCCAGCATCCCGCCTGCCCCCCTGGCCCCCTTTGTCTCGGGAGTTGCTAGAACTGCCTTTGGCGCAAGGTGCCCCTCACTTTTCGCGCGTTCCGGGGGCCACTGAGGCCCTCTGGACCTCGTGAAGGGTGCTCTGGATGCCATCTAGGCCTTCTGGGAAACCCTGGGGACACCCTGAGCCAGGGATACTTCTGGCAACATCCGACTTTCCCGTTCCCCCTCCCCCCCTGGGGCGGGGGCGGGGGGGGTGGAATGAGTGGGGCCGAGCTCCACGACGTACCTCCTGGGGCCCTCTGGGCCTCCAAATCCCGCATCCCACGCGCACAGGATGCCAAAGACGCCCTTTGAGACCGCTCAAGGGCTCTAGTACGCCTGAAAGGCCTCAAGCACAATTCAAGAGGCACTATGATGTCCCAAGAAGGAAAACCCAGCCTCACCAACATCATTGGAGAACATATTGATGTTGCTATCTCGTCTTATCACATCCACACGCCTCCGAGGTCCAGGAGACCTTTAAAGACCTCCGACGGTACACCAGCATAGTCTCGAGAGACCACAAGCGAGGCCCAAAAAGGATCCAAGAGAGCCACAGACCCCCCCAAAAGCCAAGTATTCGGTCACACACGTGCCAGGGTCATGGCCTCCAGCGCGCTAGCTACCCGACCCTGGAGGCCCTCCGTGACCAGCGGCTTTGCGGGCTCACTATTTGGTGTCTCACGCCCTCCTTGCAAAGTTGGGGGATTTCCATTTGGGGCTTGAACTGACGGGGTCGGAGTATCGTGCCGCATCGCCGATGCGTCGGCGAGCGACGGCGGGTTGAGAAGATCTGGCTCCAGATTGCGCCGTATCGCCGATGCACTAGCGATGCGGCGCGAGCCTCTGACCCCATCTACACTGGCCCCGGCAACACCAACATGGAATGACAAATCCATGATATGACGTTCTGTGCTTTTCGGGCGGGGCGGCAGAATGGCGCGAGCCTCTCGAGTCTACAACGAGGGGGGGGGGAGACCGCCTCTGCGCTCAAGTCAGCATCGGCACGCTCTCTGGTCGCTCAAAGTCGGCCACCTGCTGCCAGGTGGAGCATGGAGCAAAGCAGCAAAGGGAGGACCAATCATCGCGACCAGATACCGGGACCCTGGAAGCAAGCATCGGGGCTGCCCGTCTGTCAGAAGGTTCGGCCTCTGGAGGCCTTGAGGTCGTCAGAAAACGACTCGGGATGAGAAACATGAGGGTATCGAGAGGTCTTGGGGGCCGCGCATCGAAGATATCGGAGCGCTGGACCTCAAAACAAAATCAGTCGTCGAGTTCTTGAATGCGTGCACAGAGGCGAGGGATAGTGGAACGACGCGAGAATAGGAGAAGAAGGACGAAAGATGCTTATGCCAACAGAGGCTGAATCAAGTCGGAGTAAGCCCAGACGAAAGCAGGGCACTCCGTGCAGGCTTACTCCGTGCGGACTTAGTGTCCTATCAAGACAGGCTATGTCCAGACGTTGCAAGCCCAAAGGGGGGCCAGGCGATCCGTTGCTCCGTACGGACTTAGACGAGGACGGCAAAACAGCCCGCCCATCTGAGGCCCCCTTCAAGCCAACATGACGAGCTGCCAGGGCCACCGCACAAGCCCAGTCCACTCTGCGTCGTCGGAAGCACCCGCGCCTCGAACAAAAGCGGAGGCCTGGCTGGCCATCGGGGAAGTGTTGGGCCTTTCCCCTCCTGTCGCGAACGGGAGCCGCTCGCGTGGCCTCGCTGCCAGCGCTGGCATGCGCCCTGCAACAAGCTGGCACCCGTGACCGCGAGCTCAGCAGCGGTGACAGAATACACCTGGCCCGACCCCCGCACCGTCCTGGACACTGTTCTTCTTGGCGCTCCCCACCCGGAAATTCCTGGCCCCGACCAGGCCTTGTCGTCCACCTGGTCCGACACCCGCACCGTCCTGGACTCTCTGTTCTTGGCCCCCCCCACCCGAAAACTCCTGGCTCGACCCCCGCACCGTCCTGGACATTGGATTCTTGGGACCACCCAGCCCGACAATTCTCCTGGCCCTGAACCGCCCGTGTCGCCCACATGGCCCGACCCCCGCACCGTCCTGGACACTCTTTTTGGGCCGCCCCACCCGACAAGTCCTGGCCCCGAACCGACCCTGCCGTCCACCAGGCCCGACCTCCCCACCGTCCTGGACACTGTTCTTGGGCCCCCCCACCTGACAATTCGTGACCCCGAACCGACCCTGCCACACACCTGGCCCGACCCCCGCACCTGGCCCGACCCCGCACCTGTCCTGGGGTCCCCCGCACCTGTCCTGGACACTCTGTTCTTGGGACCCCCACCGACGAGCCTGCCCGAACCGATGCTGCGCCCACATGGTCGACCGCACCGTCTGGAACTTGTTCTTGGGGACCTAACGACAATTCCTGGCCGGACTGGCGCACTGGCCGACTCCCACGTCCTGCGATTTTTATCTTGGGATCCCCAATCAACAATTTCCTCGCTCCGCACCGACCTGCGCTCTCCCGGCTCGGCCCCGCGCGCCCGACAGACCCCCCCCGACAAGTCCTGGCCCCCGACCGACCTTGACGCCCACCTGGCGACTCCGCCCGCCAGGACAATTGATCTCGAATTCCTGACCCACGACGGGACATGGCCCCTGGCCCGACACCCCAGTCCTGGACACTCTGTCTTGCCCCCCACCTCCCCACCCACCCGACAATTCTCCTAACCCCGAACCGACCCTGCCGCCCACCTGGCCCGACCCCCGCACCGTCCTGGACTCTCTGTTCTTGGGCCCGCCCCAGCCACAAGTCCTGGGCCCCGAACCGACCCTGCCGCCCACCTGGCCCGACCGCCGCACCGTCCTGGACACTCTGTTCATGGGCCCCCCATCCAACAATTCCTGGCCCCGAACCGACACTGCCGCCCACCCGGCCCGACCCCCTTCTCTTCCTGAGCCCCCCAACCCAGCACTTCCTGGCCCCGAACCGACCCTGCCGCCCACCTGGCCCGACCCCCGCACCGCCCTGGACTCTCTGTTCTCGGGCCCCCCCCTCCCGACAATTCCTAGCCCCGAACCGACTCTGCCACCCACCTGGCCCAACCCCTGCATCGTCCTTGACGCTCTGTTCTGAGGCCCCCCGACCCGACAAGTCCTGGCCCCGAACGGACCCTGCCGCCCACCTGGCCGGCCCCCCCCCCACCACCACCACCACCACCACCACGCGTCCTGGACACCCTGTTCTTGCCCCCCCCCCCACCCGACAATTCCTGACCCCGAAACGACCCTACCATCCACCTGGTCCGACCCCCGCACCGCCCCCCTGTTCCTGGGCCCCCCCACCCGACAATTCCCGGCCAAGCAACCGACCCTGCCGCCCACCTGGCCCGACTCTCGCACCGCCCTCTACACGCTGTTCTTGGGCCCCCTCACCCGGCACTTCATGGGCCCGAACCGAACCTGCCGCCCACCTGGCCAGACCCCCGCACCGCCGCCTTTCCTGAGGACTCTCCAACTATCAATCTCTTACCCAGAACCGAAAAAACACCGCCCTCGCCCACTCCTGTCGCCCCCCGACACCCTCTCCCCCGCAAGCCTGCGCGACCGTTCAAACCACCGCACCGTCCTGGACACTCTGTTCTTGGGCGCCCCCCATCCGACAATTCCTGACCCCGAACCGACCCTGGCACCCACCTGGTCCGACCCCCGCACCGCCCTGGTCCTGGGCCCCCCCGCCTGACAATTCCTAACCCAGCAACCGACCCTGCCGCCCACTGGTCCGACCCCCGCATCGTACCTCTACACGCTGCTCTTGGACCCCCCGCCCGACACTTCGCGCGCCCGAACCGAACCTGCCGCCCACCTGGTCCGACCCCGGCACCGCGCCCTTCCTCGGGGCGTCCAAGCCAGCAATCTCTTACTCAGAACCGACCACCGCCCTCGCCCCGCCCCCCCCCCCCCGCCCCCCGACACCGTCTCCCCCGCAGGCCCGCGTGACCAGTCTCTCTGCGAGACGCTCAATATTTGCGCCTTGCGTTCGCCGACACCGCGACAGTGGGCCTTGCGCCCTGATGCGCAGCGCGCGTTGCGCCGTTGGTTTCCTTTCATTGTTTGCACCGCTCTTCCGCTTAACCACGCGCCGAACTCCTTTTATCTCGCGTTGCCCTTTGCGCCCGATACATTTCCTGCAGCCGCGCGCGACTCCGTTGGCGCGCGCGCGCGTGCTGCACTTCCGCTTCGCGCCCCCCGCGCCCCTCCAGATCCAAGGCGAGAAATCACTATCCGACTTACCCTCGTTTCACGCGCTACACTGCTACACCATTTCACGTCCGCGACATCTGCCTGGCCCCCCTTGCGATGCAACTGCGGCACCTCCAGTCCACCATCGCTGTTTTCGACTGCATGAAGCTCGAATGGTCCTTCTTGGGATTCTCGGCATTGCAGCCGCCACGCAACAACCTTGTCGCCTCTTCCAGAAGCGCTTCCTCCTCCTTTCTCACCGCTCCCCTGCGCTTCGCGCATTGCCGGTCGTCGTTGAGAACGGCCGCTTTCGAGAACTCATTGGCCAGCTAGCCTCCCCACAGCGGGAACATGTCAGGTGCTTCTTCAGCTCTTCGCCCTCTGCGCACTTTCCCCCTCTGTGCTGGGTGCCCCCGGCCAGCTCCCACTGATGCTGGGCGAGCGCCTCTTCGCATTTCCGAACACCGCACGCGCGGCAACTCCGTCTCCCCGGGAAGCCCATGCTGCGCCGCGTCGTCAACTTCGACGGGCGGCGCTGTGCTGCGCGGAGTGCCTCCTGGCACTTCCACGGACCACGCCCCATGCACTGCCACGGTGTGCCCGACCTCTTCTTCTCTTCCAGGCACGCGCTACATGCGCGAAGCCCGTGGGCGCGGCCCCACTGCCCGACCGATGGGCACCGGCCCTGGCGCTTCGTGCATCCGCAGACTGAGCGCCTGCCGGACAGCATGAACTCCTTCTCTATCGCCTCCCTAACCAAGTCTTCTCCGCGCAGCGTGCCGACAGCGGCCCCGGGCCCTTCGGCTCGCCCTTCTTCTGATGCGGCGTAATGTCGAAAAGGCGAAAGATCTGCTTGCCCCCGCAGCGCTGCACCCGCGCCAGCGCCGCGTAGCTCGACAGAGGTAAAGTGCCCCCGCCCATGCCCAGGCCCGCGATGACACCTTGCCCGAACGTTTGCCCCTGCGCCGCGTGGGCCGTCACTCCGAAGACCGGGGCCAGAAGGAACTGCCGTCTTTAGATCTTCATTCGGGAATGCGGACGACCGTCGTCCACGAACCGCTCCTTCTTTTGCGGGGCCACCGGGTATAAGCCAGGCGTCCTTAAGCCCTCGATCGTCCACTTGCGCGGCTTCCGACCGCCCTTCCTGTCGTCGCCTTCGTCGAATTCCACGGAAATCACTTTCGGGAGTTTATCCGCCACGGTCTCTCCGCCGCGCATGGCCTGATCGCGCCCCCCGTCTCAGTCGCAAATCCAGGACTGCACTCGGCCGACGCGACCGCGCAAGAGATTCTTGTCCTCGCTTCGATCAATATATGATCGGTCAGAGCGGCTGGCATGCCTTCTGCGATGGGCAAAAAGCCGTGCAAGTCTCCGCTCTCCTTGTCATTGCGTTGGAACCATGCCATCTTAAGATCCGGTCGCTCGCGGCGCGCCTCGGGCGTCGGCGTATCCCGCGCAGGAACGTACGCATTCGGCTTCCCATGCCTGCGTGCGTGCGGGGGCGCTCGGAGCTTGTTGGCCTCGCACTTCACGTCGTTGTTCGGAAACACACCCGGAGCGACGAAGAACTTCTCCGACTGCAGACGCGGGTCGTCGGGGCCATCCACTGCAAGCCGGCGCCGCGCGCGTTCCTCTCTGCACACCTCCCGCCGGTGGATCTCCTTCGGCGTCACTTGGCGAATTCGTCGCTGTCACGCTGCCACCAGCGCTGCATCCCATGCGCCATTGCACAACTCCCGACACGATCGATTCCCGCACCGGACGTCCCCACTTCAGCCAACTCCCCGGAACGGTAGTATCCTGGCCGTGCATGAATGCGCGCGCGTCCGTCGTCAGTGACCCGGTCACACTGTGCGAAATTATTCGTGCAACTCCTTCAGCCAAGCGTCGTCGCACCGTTCGCGCTCTTGCAGCTCCGTCACGCGCTGAACCCCACACTCGGCTTCACCCCGCAGCAGCGATTGGCCATGCAGCGCGGGTAGCAGGGAGGCGTGCTTGCGCGCCGCCGAGATGCGCTCGGTGGGGACGCCCGCAAGGAAACCTCCGTCGGGGGGTGCGAGTTGCCAGAAGTCACCACTCAGCGCGACGTTCAAGCCGCCGAACGGGCGCGGCACGCCGCCGTCTCCGCGCTTCGTCGTGCCCACGTCCGGGATGACCAAAGTTCCGCGTCCATTTCTGCTAATATTCTGGCACTCGCCATGCTGATCTCATCGATAAATAAACACCTCCACTGGGGCGCGCGCTTAGCAGTCTCGCACTGCAATTTGACATCCCCCCCTTCTTTTTTCCCCGCTTGATGGCCGGAATGCCGAGCGCATCGCGTCGCCGTTGCCCTCGCCATGTGAACCTCTGGCCGCTGATGAGCAAGCCGTTCGCGCTGCCGCCGCCCATCGGCCCCGCCGCGCGCGCCCCCGCAGGCTCCGGCGTCGCCAGCACGCCCGCGCACATGAGGATGTGCGCCGACGAATCAGCGGTAACTCTCCATCCGCGCTGATCAGACGGCGGCACGCCCCGCCTCGCGTCGCCGCCCCCCCCCCCCCCCCCGCATTGCCCAGCGCGCTCTGCCGCGGCCATTCGTCTGGACGCACGCAACGCAATGGCCCGCGTGGAACCCTTCGCCGCGGTAGAACACGCAGCTCAGCAAAGTGTACGTTTGCCTGCCTATTACCAGCTCTTCGCTAGGCAACGCCGAGTGCGGGACCTATCAAGACCCCCTGCGCCAACGCGTACGCCTGCGCGACCAGCTGGACCCACAGACACTGCGGCACCCGCGTCAACTGCCACACCTTCCTCGCCTTCCGGCAGCCGCACCCCTTCGGGCAATCCCAGTAGTCTGCTTCCACCGCCTCCCCGCTACAGCTTCTGTCGACGGCCTCTAGAACCGCTCTCGCCGTGCTGCTCTAGCCGCCTGGAATCGGCGCAGTCAAGCAGGTGGACTCTGTGTCCTTCCCTCGCCAGGGAACCGTCGCATCGCTCCCTCGCGCGCGCCAGCCGCCCCACCTTCTCCATCTGGAACAGCGCGCTCACAACGGGGGCCCGATCGACGTCCAGAAGCCCCCGCAACAATTCGCCCGCGTCGCTGACCCCCGTCATAGAACGCACGCGGTAGCGCGAAAAAAATCATCGGCCTCGAGCCGGGACATGACTCCATCTCGCGCAGTGTCTCCGCCAGCAAGGCATCGAAATCCGGCCCCCTCCTCCGCCGCTGCTCCGCGCCCCCGCGGTCCGCAAAGCGCCGCCCGCCCCAGTCTTCTGGGCGGCCCCGCCGCGACGTGCTCAACGCAGCCCGCGCGCCGGGGAGAGCGAAGTTGGGCGCCCGAGTTATCCGGGGCAACTCGGGCCCGGGGTAACTCGGGCTTGGATTCCCGAAAAAACGAACCCGAGTTAGCCCTGACCCGAAATACCCCTGATGATTCGGGGATCTGGACGCCCGAATTATCCGGGGCAGCTCGGGCCCGGGTAACTCGGGCTTGGGTTCCCGAAAAACGAACCCGAGTTAGCCCTGGCCCGAGTTACCCCTGATGATTCGGGGCTCTGACGAACAGCGACTGCGCAGATGCGTTCATGAAGCAATGCCACTTGGGGTTCCGCAGGCCTGGCGGCGCCGGCATCGCCGCGCCCTCGCTCGCGTCGTGCGCGGTGACATGCTGCGATCGCGATCGGGGTGCGACGTCCGCTGATCCCCCTGCTGCCCTGCCCGAACTGGCGCCCGCCGCCCGCGCCGCGCCCCCGCCCCCGCGCGAGGCGCCAGCCAAGCAGCGTCGCCGCGGGGCCCACGCCGGACCCCCCCCCAACCCGCCCGGCGCGCCGCGCCCGCGCGCAACTCGAACGACGGGGCCCGCGGATAGCCAGGCGGCCACCCAATGAAGCGACCGTCCGGATCGCCATGCCGCCAACTCAAACACGCGCTCTCCCTGAATAAGATTCGTTACATGATCTGCTTCGCACGCCCACGCGGACGCGTTTCGCTCGCGCAGCCACCACTGGGCCGCGCCCGCGTTCTGCCATGGTACCAGATCCACCCCGCCCTCGCCGGAACCCGCGCGATTGGGGCGCTCTTGCGCGAAAAAATCGCAACGCTTCTCGGCGCCAAAGACCGCGCTGCATGCGCGCCACGGCGTCTTGCAAGCGCTTGTTTTCCCAACGCACCACGGCCCCCTCATCTTCCGCCGGGGTCGAGACGGAGATCGCCGGCGCGCAGGGCGCGCGCGCCGTCCGCGCGGCCACGACCATACCGCCACCAACTGTCTTGAACGGCACACCGCCGCTCTGTGCGCGCATCGGGGCGCCCTCGCTCCACTCGCCGACGCCGAGTCGGCGCCGGCGCACCTTCTGGCCCGCGCCAGTTCCCGGCCTGGCGGCTCGAGACTCACCCCGCGAGACGCCGCAACCCACGCGGATTCGAAGCGCGCCCAAGTCAAACGAAAACGATTGCGCGCAGTACGTCGAAGAACGACATGTCGACGACGCAGGCCGCCTGCCGGTCGGAGGCCATGCCCCCGCCCGAAGCGCCGTTCGCACGCGCGCACCTATCTCGCACCCCCACTCGCGCCTGCGGCCGACAGGCGACATAACCTGTCGCCTGACGGCCGCAGGTTCTGTCTCCTCCTCCTCCTCCTCCGCCTCCTCCTCTTTGCCCTCCGCGCGAAACGCCGCCCGGTTTCGCATCGGCCCCGTGGGCGCCTGCGCCCCCGACCTCGCGCCTCCCCCGAACCCGCCGCGCGCGCCCCCGAGAAAGCCATCGCCGTAATCGCGGCGCGACATGCGCCCGCTGCCGGCGACTCGCGGCTGCCCTGCCCGCGTTTGGCAGACGACGCGCGCACCCGTCCTCAGAGCCTCGTTGCATCCTCCCCTCCGTCGATCCTGGTCGAGCAAGTCCCCACGCCGCTCCGCGCCGCTCGCGGGAGGTGCAGGCCGGAGAACGCCGAAAGAACACTCGCGTTCGTTTCCCCCCTCCACGAGCATGAACACGCGCCAGCGAAGCAAATCGCGACTGTCTATCCCCTCGATTGTTCAGGGGGCGCGTATGAAAATAAATTATCGCTTGGTTTCCGTTCTATCGGCCGAAGGGCGCGCCTGGAAGAATGCTCGCGGAATTGCCCCCTTCCTATCCCTCACAGGAGGCGCCTCTGTGGAAAATCTCGACAGTTCCCCCTCCTGTCGTGGACAGGACGCGCTCGGGGAAAACATCGCTATAGTCTCCCCCTTCTATCGTGGACTGGGCGCGCCTAGGAGAAAATTCGCGACGGCCTCCCCCTGCCATCGCACAGAGGAGACGCTTTTAAACACTTCGGCACAACTTCGGCCTTCTATCGGTTGGAGAACGACAGCGCGGTCTCCCGGGAATTGGCTCTCCGTCGCGCGTCTATCGTGGATTTACGCAGCGCCGCGGCACAGCCTCGGAGGACTGCGCCACGACGCACCCCTCCCGGGGGGCCGGCTTGGACGCAAGCGGTCCATGCAACATTGGTACAAAACCCACATGGGGCCCCATGCCAATACACTCCTTTCTGGGGGCCGCCTCATGGACACCGGCGCTCCCTTCGAGATTGCGGCTATCGGTAATTCCATTGGGATTATGGCTCCCAGTCGACCCTGTGGGATCATGGTTCCCAGACGACCCCGTGTGGGTTTCTGGCCCCCAGTCGGCCTTTTCATTGCACGAGGCCCCATCCCCGGCTTCCGGGGAGCACTGTGCGAGCCCACCCATGACCCCCAGGCAGCTTCAGGCCGCCATAGGAAACCCAAGAAATGTCAGATGGCCTAAGTAAGACGAGGCAGCCGTAGGAAACCGAAGCAGCCGAAGGGAGGCAGCCGTATGAAGGAAGCCAGAAAGCTTCAGGCAGCCGAAGAGCCGCCGCAAGAAACTTAAGGCAGCCGCAGGGCAACCGCAGGGAGCTTCAGGCAGCAATAGGGCCGTAGGAAGCTTCAGGCAAACGCAGGGCAGCCGCAGGAAGTTTCAGGCAGTAGGGCCGTCGCATGAAGCTTCAGGCAGTCGCAGGGCAGGCGCAGGAAGCTTCTGGCAGCCCTAGGGCCGCCTCGGGAAGCCTCAAGGTCGCCGCAGGAAGCCGCTGCAACGGGCCGCTGTGAAGGCTCGGTCCTGGGATCACCGATGATATCCCCAGGGATTCTAGAGACCGCTCGGCCCCTCCTCTATGGCCCTGTGGTCGGAGAGGCCCATGCCACCGCGAGTCGTGAAAAGCTTTTCTTGTCTACGAGGGCAAATGCAGAACCAGCAACCTGTGCCCGCTGAAGCCCCTCCCCTCCATGTCAGCCTCTCGGCCGAAGAGGATGAGAGGGTGCGATGGAGGAAACTCAAGGGCGAGGGCGCAGGAGCAGTGGGAGGAGGGACGACGAGAGAGGAGGCGGGAGCAGGATGAACAGGGGAGCAGTGGGAGGACCACGAGGAGGGACAAGACGACCACGAGCACTACGACGACGAGCACGACGACGGCGATGACGACGACGAGCGCAACGACGACGACGACGACGACGAAGATGGCGGCGGCGGCGGCGGCCTCCGGTCGCCGCAGCGCACCCCGCCGGGCCGCGGTGCAGAGGCCGCGCAGGGCCGGCGAGACCTTCGCTGCCAAGGCCCCGCCCCCGCCCCGTCGTGCAGATCATCTGGGCCCATGGCGTGGAAGACCCGTGCTCGGACCGGTGCGCGCGCAGGAGGCAGCTGTGCACCATTGCGACGTACCAAAGGCATGACAGGTCAACACAAACGAGTTTGGGAACTGTAGCAGATGAGTGCTGGAGGGTGTAAATGTAACCAAGGTCACGCCTGTCTGTGGCCGGAGGTCTCTTCGTGCCACCGGGGCTTTGACCATCCCCGATGGTGTTCCCCTCTCCTTCCTCCTCCTCCTCCTCTTCCTCCTCCTCTTCCTCCTTCTCCTCCTCCTCATCATCCCCCTCCCTCCGTCCTTCTCACCAAAATCCCCATCACAAGGTGCACGATGTTGGGGTGGCATTCCGCTTCCATTCAAAAACTACAAAAAACGATCCTGCATAGACCGGCTCACGCGACGCGACGACACTTGTCGGGAGAACGGCAAAATTGAAATAGAACCTGACCGGACAAGAACGGGAAGCGCCGCTTTTGGCGTGTCAGAGAACGTATGGTGGAGAACGCCAACGCCGACCATGAAACATACAGGTGCTGTGAAGCGTGTGTCTTTGTGATGATCCTTTTGGAGCCGAGCTGGTGTGAAGACTTTGGTAGGACATACTGAATTCTGAATTGTAGCCAGAAAACCGTGCGAGAATCAATGAGTATTGCATTTCTGGGCGTCCTTTGGGACCCTTTTGGGCCGTCTTGGGCCTCTCTCGGGGCGGGGTGCAGCTCGGACTCCATAAGCAAAGAAAAGTGGATTCATAAGAACGGTGCACGCCAGAGGCGCTTCCCCTCATCTGCCGCCCTGGGCACATGATGGACTTCGCGTGCTGTCTAGGGCTCTTGGGGCTCTTTTGCGGTCTCTGGTGCCCTCTGAGCAGCCAGTGAAGGCCTGTTGGGAGCCCGTTGGGGACCTTTTTAAAATTGTTTTTTTGTTTTTGTTTTCCCCGCGATGGAGTGCGGAGGCAGCGACGCGGCGATGCGGGAGTCCCCCGCCTGAATGCTGTCTTTCTCGCGTCTAAAAAAAAGGACCTGCCTACGAATGGATGGCTGGCGCCCACTGGTAGGCAGCTCCACGTGCGTATATAAATCGCACGAGCGCTTCACAAGGTTCGGGAGGTCACGCCGTGACGAAACCCCGGCGGCGCGCACAGGCGCAGGCCAGCCAAAGGAAATCGAGATTTCACGACGCAGGGCTTTGGCTCGCCATGGGCGCCTTCTGGGCAGGCATGCGGTGCGGTTCCGAGCGACGGCTCGTCAAAAACTAGATGCTGCTCCACAGCTATGACTTGCGGGATAAAAAAAAATTAACCTCGCGACGATCCACCATTCGCCACGGAAGTGTGTACCATCTTATGCGTATCGGGCTGTTGCGTCACTCAGACATCCTTAGTAACCCACTGTGCACTCAAGAAGCTGGCAGACTGATCAGTCGTCAAGCCCACCGAGCGAGACTGTCCTGAACCATCGTTCATGTTCAAATATTGGTCTGCGTTTGTCTTTGTCTTCCACTTGTTCTGGTACTTGAAGGCTCCGCTCGTACTGACGTTGGAGTCTGGCTTCCACAACATACTATCGTACGATGCATGGTACTCGGTCAGCGCCACGTGAGTGCCATCGTCCACCCTATTCAGAAACTTCTTGGTCCACTGGTTTTGGATCCTCTGGTAGCCGTCACCCGCTTCATGAACCCACCACGTCATGCTGGTCCACTTTGAAGGCTTTGAATCCAAGATGTAGCACTGCACTTCGCGCTGTTTGGGGTCGTTCGCGGCATTCAGGTAATAAGCCCCTTTGTCTGTCCACGCACATTGCAACCTGCAACTGACACCCACTGTAGCAACAAAAGGTTCAATGACCCACTGTGCACTCGGGAAGCTGGCAGACTGATCGGTCGTCAAGCCCACCGAGCGAGACTGTCCTGAACCATCGTTCATGTTCAAATATTGGTCTGCGTTTGTCTTTGTCTTCCACTTGTTCTGGTACTTGAAGGCTCCGCTCGCACTGACGTTGGAGTCTGGCTTCCACAACATACTATCGTACGATGCATGGTACTCGGTCAGCGCCACGTGAGTGCCATCGTCCACCTTATTCAGATACTTCCCAGTCCATTGGTTCTGGATTCTCTCGAAGCCATTACCAGCGTCGTGAATATACCACTTCTCACTGCCCCATGTTGATTCCAGGGTGTAGCACTGAACTTCACGCTGGTTGGGGTCGTTTGCGGCATTCAGGTAATAAGCCCCTGTGTCTGTCCAAGCACACCTCAGCCTGCAAGCGACTGACTAGTAGTTGCAACTTTTTCGATGTCTGTTTCTTCTTCATCTCAGCCAGCATATCTGCAGAGACGCCCTTCACGCCGTTCACAGCCATGATGAAGTCGCCCTCCTTTAAGGCCTTGTCTGGGTGAGCCTTGTTGTGTTCCCCAACGCTGCCATCCTTGACCCCCTTGATCTTCAGATATTTTGATTCGTGGTGACCGATGTCCAGACCATCTGTGCCACTTGCGTGTGCAACCTCCACTTCGAAAGTCTCTGGTTTGTTTGCCCAAGACTTCTTCACTTCTTCCTCGGAGACTGGGCCCTGCA